ATACGGGAACACTTCTAAAGACTCAGACATGGGTACGTGCGTGTGCAGCAAAATATCTAGTAAATATAAGAATTATACAGTACAGCCAACATACAAGTCACAGCTCACTCAGGATTGGAGAATTCTAAAGTAACCAACAAGTCATGGCTCAAAAGGGTTCTAGTGCAATAAGGATTCCAATACAACAAGTCTTCTACATCTATGAGTTTTCTCAACCAGGTCTCCTCCTCTTCCTTCAACATCAGACCTCACATAAGTCAAAGTGTCCAAAAATTTTTCAAACTGTCAGACACATATCCCAAACCAGCACCAGTGTCATGTCATGTTGACACAGGTACTTTGGGGTAAAATAAAGAGCCCGAGTAACATAGGCTATAGATTAGGCCAGGATTGAACACTGTTTAACTCAGAAACTATGGACTTTTGCTTCAACCACAATCCAGAACCACTTGTCAAATCCTCAAAGCGCTATTAACTTTAAAACAAGTGTCATACAGATGAAGTTGGATTGCAGGTCTTCAACAAAACAGAATCTATTGCAAGGCCAAGCTCTACAACAATTTGATCCCACTGATATCTAATTGAGATCATCAGCACATAGATAAACAGCTCTAAAATAAGGAAAGCCAAAAAAAGAGCTTATGCACTATATTCATACCAGATGAACAAGGCATGATACGAATTAAATTTACTCCTAGTTAAACCTTCAATGTCAAAACCTTAGAACATGCTAAAGAATGCATAAATGACATCCAGAACTAAACTCAATGACAGCAATATCTATTGATTCTGAATCTTATGATAACAGAGAGAGGGGGAGAGAGAGAGAGAGATGGAATATAAGCCACCCTCCAGTATAAGGCGTAGAGGAAGGGGATACCTCACCTGCCAACTAGGGATAAAATACGGCACTCCTAGCTTGATTCCACTTTCACTTGCTACTAAAATGTGGCAGACTTCATGGGCACCAAGAACAAGTAATGTTACAAGGGCACCAGGAAGGCCATCCTTCAACAGTTCGAGATTGTCAAAAGTCAATCTGAAGAATGACAGGAAAAATCTTGTAATCACTAAATCTAAATTCAGACTCTTGTTACATGAATGCGACCCACAAGAGAAAAAGATGAAAAAAAAACAGACAAATGAAAAACATAACCACGCAATCAGTAGAATTAAGGGGATTCCTTGCCCAAAACTTAAGTCAAACTGTTTGTAGTAATTTTGCATAAGGCCAGATACTCCTAAGCACAACAAGTCTAACCTAAACACATTGCATATACAGTTTGATGGAGTACGCACAAGAAGTTTGATTGTAGTGCTGGTACATTTCGAAGAAGTAAGGTGAACAAGGTGACTAATCCAAAAGCCCCTGCTGCAAACCATTCTGGAAGAGCTGCAGAATTCGAAACCAAGTTATGGTCATGCATCAGATCTAGGTGTTTCAGGTTCATCTTGTCTGGATAGACAACCGTGTTGGAAATTTTGGTACTTCGTTTCTGGAAGGAACTCTGCATAGAGAAAAAGTTACCAGTGGTATCTGGTGGCAGGGATTTTCTGGGAACCACAACCGCCACAGGCTTATCATCCTCTGGATTGATCAAAAGGAAAAGCTTATATTCATCTCCAAACTTGTCCTGTGCATAAAAAATGGATCATTTTGGAAAGTCCAAGGCCACAGAACTGCTCAAACTCCAATTCCAGGAGCAAATACACCCACCTCCATTCTCTTTGTTATCTTCTCATAACTTTTTGTAGCTTGCCCACGTAGGTTTCCCTTGAATAGCACTCCACCCTTTAAAAGTTAATTTTTAGGGTCACTAAGAAAGAAATACCAGAGATTGACAACTTTGTCCACTCCATATAATCAAAAACATTAGATTAGAGCAGCATCAGAGTAAACGAGGTAAATGTATATTACTTTTTGAAGATCTTTCACTGGTTCATGAAATTTTACCTCCATATTGCACGATGAGATTAACGAAGATATACTTTAGAGAGCAGCAAAGCCCTTTGTGTTATCCATCTTCAAACAAGAGATCGGTCATTCTATAAAAAGTCAGTTACCTAACTCACTCACCTCATAGGGCTCCTGGCCAGTGACGAAAAAGGTATCAAAACCAAACACTTGATCTCTCAGAACATCAATTGTTTCCTTTGGGATCCTAATTGATTCATCAAGTTGCTGTGGCTGTTTAGATCATATCACAGGGAAAGAAAGAATTCAAATTAAAAACTTCACGCAACATAGAAAAGGGTATGTAAACCCATACGATGTTTCATCAGTATCTCTAGTTCCTATCACCTTCACACCTGGCAGAGGTGATCCAATTGAAACTTGTAAATCCTCGCCATCCTGTAAGAAAGGTGTCAACAGAAACAAAGTTAAGAAATAATTCAGAAGCCGCACAAGGTGCAGTCATCCGTTCCAGAATGTTGTTTCTCCATCTTGTCAGTCTTTACAAGTAAAACAAAAGATTGGTATAAAATTCCAAACCCACTATTGGCAGATATAAGAACAGATTATCAACTGGGGAAAAAGGAAGGCTCAAGCGTCAAGTCTAGGCTATGAATCAAGAAATAAGTAATAACTAAATAACCCAAACAAAAGCAATGACGGCATAAAACTAAGACAAAATGCACCTCAGCTCCTCCCGTCTGAGCATCGGTTTCAGGACTGTGCTTCACTTCTAGGCTATTAGACTCGAGCATGCCTGTCTCGGGCGACTGGTGCGTATCCTAATACAACAGTGTATAACCATCAGAAACACTACCTATTCCAAAAGTACAAATGAATTTTCCTCAGCACAGTTCTTCGCATCGTACAAAATAAAAACCAACTATAGAAATAATCACATGATCAGAGTCATTTCCCACAACTAACTCACTCACCGACTTCAGCTGATCCTCCCCTTCATGTACGCTTTGGTCCTATATTATCAGAGTGGGAATACAAACCACGTCACAGGGAAAAAAGTATCAGCTGTTTCGACTCACATGTACCTTATAGGACAAATATCTACTTGAATCAACATAACTACTGAACTTTACCGTCTCATTATTATCGCTTTCAGGATCAATATCCGTCTCACTCATTCTACAGACAACTTTTCCATTTCTACGGAACAAAGAAAGCACAATCATATACTCATTCAATACAAAAGAAACCCAGAAAACTCAAGGCAAATAATAATCTGCATACAAGGTAAGTTTCAAGTTACCTGCGTAATTGGGTAGCCAAAAAATGGGCCTTCAATTTACGACTAATCACCGGAGGAAAAGCTAACGGCTGGGAATGGATTACAGAGCAAGAGCCGCACTGGGATAAAGGCAGGAGACTTGCTTGACAACTCGCCCCCAAATTCATATTACTAGATGAGTTGAATGAAAAACAAGATTATGCGTACATTGATTTATTTATTGGGAGTAAATGCAGGGTTCTGACAATTTAATAGGTGAAAATCAAATTTGTTTTGCTTAAACCTTTGCTGGGAGATTGGGAGGTTTTGACAGAAATATCTCATCCGTCTTTTTCTCGAGGGAAGAATATCTCTGGACTGGAGTTCGGTGCCGTATTTTGTTCCTTTTTCCTTTTTTTTTTTTTTTTTCTTGGTTTCAGAATTTTTGTTCGTTGAGGTTTCGCCCGCCTAAAAATGATGAGAAATCTCTGTTGAGCTGGGATGGTTCTCGTTGGAAGGCTAAAACTTTAAGTGACTAATTAGAGTGAGCCACGTGTCACCACATCCTAATCCATTTTCAGAACTGGGCCTAATTGGGCTCATGCCCTGGTTTCAGTGTCCGGCAACCAATGAATAATTCACTTGGTTTGAACGAGACAGGAAGCTTAATACTTCCTCCCTTTTTTTATAACTGACGTTTAAGAAATTTGCTCTTAAATACTTTTATCTGTCATTGTATTATCCCCATACAGCATTAATTATTTTTCACAATTTTACCCTTTTATCTCTCTTTACCAAATACAGGGCTCTTAATTACTACTCCTAGTAATTATTACTTCTATCTTTGCTTTTGGCATAGTAAAACAGCACCATTTAATACTCTAGTGAGAGAAAACATGAGTGAATTAGACAATTAATGAGGGTACAAAAGGAAAGTAGTGTATAGATTTAAATAATGAAAAACTTTTCTTAATTGGTGTGCAAAACCTTAAACGTCAGTTATAAAAAAAGGGAGGGGGTAGTCAATAGTTAGTATTGGATAATTGGAATAGTTTTCGTTTTTCTTCTTTGTTTTAAAAAAAAAAAAAAACTACCTGAAAAAGATTCTTTAGAGTCCAAATTAAACTTCGGGAAATAATAAGCTTGATTCGACAGCCCAAAAAAAAAAAAAAAAAGAAAATTTCAGAGTACGTGCAGAGAATGAATTGAGTGGATGCATGCCCAAGTCTTATGCTGCACGAGAAGGGCAGAGCACAAGTTCAATATTTGGTGATTCACCTTTTCTAATTCTCTGCATCCAATTCTCTACATCCATCAGAGAGACAGAGGACTAAGATGTGGAAGAGAGAGCAGAAAGAGAGTCTGCAGACTGCAAAAACGAACCAATTGACATTAAACTGATGAAGATAATCTCTACCATACAACTTAACAAATGAAGATAAAGAATACTGAACTTTCCAACTCGTGAAACAGAACAATAAAGACTACTAGTAATTAAGAGAAGTAAATAAAGCCACCGAGCAATAGCAGAGATGATTCAAACATCGCAAGGAGGGTAGAAAACAGACAAAGAACAGTTAGTTAGTTACCGTTCACATGCAGTGATTAAGAAGCGCAGTGCATTTGCGCTATTGCTTAAAACTGCCATTTGCACTAATAGGTCTAATGCACAGCAATCTCCTGCCCTTCTGCTAGCCATTTCATCCAATCATAGGCAACTTTTTCTAGCATGAACACACACACACACACACACACATATATATATATATATATAGAGAGAGAGAGAGAGAGAGAGAGAGTAAATTAAGAAACAGAAACATCAAGGATCAAAAGGTTTTTACAACCTTTACAAACATGCATAATCTTAGCAAAGGGAACTTATACTTTCCTAAACTTCGTTACCCAACATGAAGGTTTGAGGTGAGAAATAATGTAAACTAGCTTGCATGGTTAATCAAGAATGAATCTCAGCGGCATTCACCCTCCCCCTTTTGTCATCTCTTCCTAAAAGTAAAGAGGAATAAAACATATAAAAAAAAAAAGAAGGTTTGTTATATCAGATGCACCTCTTAAATAACAGTAGCACAGGGAAACCATGAAACAACACATGGAGGGAGGTACAGCGAGACTCAGATATCCTCAGGTCTCAAGTCCCATCTTGACCCCGGCTTTGCCTTCTTAACAGTTCCCCAACTCAAATGTTCCCACTCTATAGCCGGTTTTAGGTCTATCATGTCCTCATCCTCCTCTTCATCACTCTCAAATATCCATCCATTACATGGCTGACGCCTTTTGCTCTGAACGCGCTTAACATTTGGAGGTGAGATCTTAGGAAAAGGAGAGAGCACTGGACAGTTTTCAGGTGGGCTTGAAACACTACTACCTCCTGGTGTTGTAGGAGTCAGAGACGGAGGGGTGAGTATTACACTATTTGCACAATCCTGACTGGAGCCACCTATCTCATCCTTGTCAGAAATGCCAGCAGCCCTCCCTTTCTCACTTGAAGACTGATCCAAGCCAATGTCTTTCCAGCCTTTTCCGTCCCTGACACTGGATGGAAGCTGGCCTGCATCTTCTGCAAAGCAAAAATAGGCAATATAACTTGTGTAGTCAACAAAACTGCCCCTCAAAATTATTAAATAATTCAATGACCTTATTCTCCATATATTGCCAAATGTTAGCATCTTAAGTACAGCATAGCAGGCATATCTCATAACAGAATCAAAAAAGATATTGGAGGACTTGATAAAAGGTTTGTTGCTTAATTATTTAAATGAAGGTAGAGGAGGATTCTGAATCCTGCTCTACCATTACTATTACTTAGCACCTGCTTCAGCAATAGTTCAAAATTTGAAACATCTAAAGAAGTTTCCAGCCATTATATTGTTCTAAAGATAAAAGAAATGGGAAACTATAAGCAAGAAAAAATACATCTTATGTATTGGAACATTAGCTGTGGCTGATCAAACAGCACTGACAACTTCTTGTAAAAGCCACTCCTAGGAAAAACAAGAAAGAAAGAATAGTAAGCATCATTACCTTTGGTGTTTGCCTCCAATTGATTCTCGACAACCTTAGAGCAATTGGCTTCCGAAACTACACCAGAGGGCTCTGCTAAAGCATGTTCTGCAGCCCTTTCATCTTGCAAAGAGATATTCTGGAAAGAACACGCAAACATGAGCAAAAAATTGGCGATGCCACTTAACTGCTGCAATTGGAAATTCACTTTTGCCCAATGCAACCTGATGAATTAGGCACAATTGCACTAATACTCTTATCTGACATTTCTAGCACTGCAGCTTGTGGTGCATGGTGGAATGAATGAAATATTATGACCAAATGTTGCGGTAACTTACTTAGTCTGGGTTTGAAGACGCATTATGAAGAAAGACCATGAACCTGTCCATTTGCATAACTCAGTATAATAGTTACCTAACCTAGTCCACTCCTAGCACATGACCAGACCATAGAATCAATAAATACAAAAAAAAAAATTCCTTGGATGATCACCGAAAAGATATAACATTGTTGAGAACATATCAAAATTATTTTGTCCATGCATTAAAGGAAGGCCCTAGTTAAGAATCTAAATATGATCTTGTTTCTGGATACCAAATCCAGCATTCTTTTTGTGATCTATCTTGTCTTCATGGGTGGTTGGAAAAACAACTGTGCCTTCTGGTGCATCATTGTAATTGAAAACCAGATAAAGCAGAGACAAGCACAGAAAAAATAAGTTTGAAAAGGAGATGAATGATCACATTGAAAGTCCAGAAAGTACTACCAATAAAATCTATGAAAAAGATGCTAGAGATACAAACAGAGGGTAAAAAACATGACACCTTTGCATGCATGCATCGACAGAAGTGGTCACGAAGCCATAGTATTCATATGACAAAGTGGAACCAGTGTTGCTACAATGATAATCTAGTACAGAATGGCTGAAGTGGAGGCAATCAGTTATAGCAGATTGTAAGATGAACTTACTAGAAGTAAATCCACTTCGCTAACTTGATACATTTCTGACATGTCAAGTTTTACATAAACGGATTGCTTTTTGCATCAAGGTTCCATCTCAAATGTACTGTCGATGCAGTATTTAAACCAGGAAAATCCCTAATAGCAGGATTAGACTAAACAGTTACGTAGTGTTAATGAGCATATCATTTGACTTGCAGTGTGAAATTTCAAAATGAAGCCTGCAACAGGATGACTATAGCTTCAGAGTACGGGAGAAAGAACAGAACAAAATCAAGAAAATTTGGAATGCCCACATATTTCCTTAATAATTATTTGCACCTCGGCAGAATATACGAGGCACGTATGTCCATCCTCCTAACACCTCATTTTGTTTGACACTATACTTTAGAGTAATGCACGCTTTTGTTTATCATTAATACAAGCACTTTGCCTTAGTATCTTCAGTGCAAAAGGCCAATATTTGTTTTCACATTTCTTTTTTTTTTTCGTTAAGTGCCTCAAAACAAATAAATAACATGAGTAGCTCATACTTAGCAGTCATAAAAGCAATTAAATTTAAAACACAATAAAAAAAGAGGCTGAATGCTAAACAAATATTACCCCAATACTAATACCTGTGGCAAAGCATCCTCTTTCTGATTAGGAGGAGCATCGTGCCGATCATTTAGCTCTTGATCCAGCAAAAGCGCGTCAACCAATACTTGGTAAGAGCAGTCCTCGATGAAAAACCAGCCCTCATCTCCTTGATCTCCCTCATACTCCTAAATATGAACAGAGAAACAAACATCCACAGGTAAGCACGGACAAAACCGTCCCCCAAAAATAAAAATCAGAAAAACAAAATAGGAAGATAAACCTTTGTCTTTCAAAAACAGATTGCAGTAAAACAAAAGGGCAGAAGTCAGCAGATAATAATGGAAGCCCCCTTAAAATCACTTACTACTTCCTTATGTAAGCTACATTTTTGTTAATGAACTTATACAGGGTTTTTCGGAGGCCAAACAAGGGGGAACAAAAAGAGTAAAAAGCGTCGGGCGTACTTTGAGCAGCTCTTTTGCTACCCGCTTCACAATTTCCTCAGGAAACCCATAGTTTTTCGTCATGGCATCAACGGCTGCGTCCATCCTCGTATCCCGGGACTGAAAAAAACCCCTCAAAAAAGATGTCAAAAAGAGCGTGGAAAATAACCATGAACAAAAGAAAATCAGAGCAGGAGAAAGTTGATGAAAGAAAACCTTCCTAGGTCTTCCTCTAGGGGCCATTATGAATAGCTCCAACGTCCGTCAGCTCTCAACCCCCTTCTCAGTTCTAGACAGTCCTTTTGCCAGAAAAAGGGGGGAAAAATAGAGACATCGGAGCTCTTTGGCGATGACCACGTACGGTACCACTATTCTGGTATTAAAGTATCCAGCGAACGCAATTTAACTGGGTCCAAAAATAGAGGGAGAAACTTTGGGTGGAGAAAATTGAAGAGTAACAAAAAGGAATATCAACACAAAACAGAGTGTGGGGAAAGTGCAGAGGGATTTTTGGTTAAGATGGCAGAAAGGAGCGAAGAGAGGGGGAGGCTGTCCGTTGTCCCGTCGTGGGCGCTAAATATGGCAACAAGAGAGTGATGAGTGAGGACCGACTTTGGCTTTTGCTCGTAAGCAGCTACAGTATGGGAGTGTAACGTACGTACGGCACGGCACGGGACGTACGTGGCCATCGGGGAGAGGTTGTGGGACAGATGTTTATGAATAAGAAATAATAATATAATAAATAATGGGACAGAGAATGGCAACGTGGACAGAACATCCGTTGCGCATTTGCATTCACCAGTTCATGTTCACTTCATGGGAGAAAAGCCACGTAGGCCTCCACCTTTTGTTCTTCTGGTACTTAAAACTAGTGTCAATATCCGTGCTACGTACAGTGCTTGATATTATTGAAAAAAATAAAATGGTGAACAAATAAAGGTGAAAAATTTGAACCAACAAAATTTAAATGTAATATCTGTTTAACAATAGTTTGAAATATAATAGAATGTGTATATCATTGTAAAACTGTCTTTTTTCGAAAGATGGATTCTGAAAATAAAATTAAAATTTATATTAAAAAAAGGGAATGATATATTTCTACAAATGAATATAATTGAATATTGTTAAAATGAAATAGTTACAAATACTAAGCATTCGATTTGATAATCTTTCTTGAAGGTGCGAACACTCTTCACACAAATCCACTTTTAGTACGAAATGCAAAATTGATGATTTAATTAACTGTGTTGAATTTTGTGAAGTGTGTACTACAAATGAAAATGCACGATCTTTGACGATATAAAAAACTGCATCTTTACCATGATCACGCAAAAGTATTAGTGATGCGGATGGCTGTTGAACTTAAAGAAAGGCAATATTTTCATTTCTTTGATCTAGAAAAAAATATATATTAAATCAAAAATAAATATTTTTTGTATTTATTTTATGTGTAGTAAGTGATACATTGTATGAGAATTGTTAACAAAAAAATACAATAGTTAATATAGAAGTAGCATCAATAGAATTTAATACAATTGTGTTATAATCAAATGAAAATTACGCACCAATAGAATTGTTATTAGCACTCATAGTTAATAAAGTAATCCATATATAAATATATTTTGGTATATGTAGACCCTCTAAACCCCGCAAAACCAATCACCACTTATTGAAAACAAACCAATAAATGCACTAAAATGCCTCCCATCTATACCTCAAATTGCACTTTAACCCACAAATTTTGTGCGAAATTATCCCTCTAATTGCTTTTGTCCATTTCGATTTTTTCACATGTCGCTAACTGCTTCATTCCATCTGCTATCACTTGTATATTTAAAATTAATTTTTAATATTAAATAAAAAGGATTGTATTAGTTTATAATATGTTCATAATGTAGATAAATTATTAAATTTGGAAAAGGGCGTATGTTCTTATGGGCTTCTTTTCTTTTCTTTTTTTTTTTTTTGGAAAAATGAGTTTGTTCTTGTAGATTTTTTTTTATTTTTGGGATATAGAATTATTTTTCAAATATTTTGGTTCGTAGTCCCTACTATATTTAAACCATTTTTTAATATCCAATTCAATATTGTCTTTTAATTTAGCAGTCCCTATAATTTTTAATTTATTCTTTTGGTTTAATTTCAGTTAGAATTCAGAATTTTTCAAATACCAAGAGAAATCAGATTTTTTTTAAAAATCACTGTCTTGAGTCAGATAGAGCGCCGAAATATGAGTCAGGATTATTTCCTTTATGCAGTTAATTTCCTGATATCTGGTATGATATATAATTATGTCCGTTGGATTTTTTTTTTCATATAGATATCGTTAGGTCTTTGGCATCACTACTGAACATTATCCAAACTTAGAAGGACGCATTTTTTCTAATTCAGTGGATGCAAAAATACAAAAATACCAAAAATGAAGGTAATATTGTGACTCAAACTCTAAAAAATAGGATACCATCATTAAAGAAGTTTCATGCCTTCTTTAGCATCTCAAAAAGATGCAACACAGAACAGTTATTTGAATGCTAATAAACTCTCTTTCTAATCTCAATTATTGCAGTCAATGCAGAGAGAAAATGATAAAGAAAAGAAAGGCTAGATGCAATTTTGCCAAAAGAATTTCTGACGAAATTAAAAATTAATCCAATTTTAATAATGGGTGTATAGTGCCTTAGTTTTTAGTAGTATCTGAATTATTTTTCTCTAATTATAAACCATTTTTTATTATTTTTTATTTTATGCACGATCATTTTTGGAATAAAATTATGAAAATAACTATCGTAACACCTTTTTTATGTGATAAATGTGCAATAAAAAATAATTAAAAAATTTTAGTAATACAAACAAATAAATTTTTATAATATACAATTTATGTTAGAAATAGTAAAACCCTCAATCATGAACCTATACCATCCGCAATTATATAAGCAAGCAACACCTTATGTTAGAAATGTGATTGTGATTTTGTGTTTATACTTTATCCCACTACTGACTATCTTTGCTTTGCAGTGTAACAATAAGCAAACAACCGTTAGGATTTTGTAAAAAATTTTCAAAAATAATGGATGATTAGAAAATCAATGCAATATCATTCATGACAAAAAGTAAAGCAAAAGCAAAACATACTTAAAAGGCAGAGGGGACTGACCTGAAAAATTAAGTTGGTAAGAATATACTTTCAATTCTCCGCAAGAAGGTTGAGTTCTGCTAAAATCTTTGCATATAATATCTTCCACTACTGCTCATAAAAGAAACAAAATCAATACATTTACAAAATGAATAGAGAACCAAAAACAAATAAGAAACTGAGAGAGAGTGGGAGTGAGATAGTGGGATAGTGGGAAAAGAGAATTTGTAGCAGTGGTTGTAGAATGAGTTAAGATAGTGGGATAGTGGGAGTGAGATAGTGGGAATATTGATGGGTGATAAGGTGGATTATAACCCACTACATTTTATGACCACGTACGGTACCACTATTCTGGTATTAAAGTATCCAGCGAACGCAATTTAACTGGGTCCAAAAAAAGAGGGAGAAACTTTGGGTGGAGAAAATTGAAGAGTAACAAAAAGGAATATCAACACAAAACAGAGTGTGGGGAAAGTGCAGAGGGATTTTTGGTTAAGATGGCAGAAAGGAGCGAAGAGAGGGGGAGGCTGTCCGTTGTCCCGTCGTGGGCGCTAAATATGGCAACAAGAGAGTGATGAGTGAGGACCGACTTTGGCTTTTGCTCGTAAGCAGCTACAGTATGGGAGTGTAACGTACGTACGGCACGGCACGGGACGTACGTGGCCATCGGGGAGAGGTTGTGGGACAGATGTTTATGAATAAGAAATAATAATATAATAAATAATGGGACAGAGAATGGCAACGTGGACAGAACATCCGTTGCGCATTTGCATTCACCAGTTCATGTTCACTTCATGGGAGAAAAGCCACGTAGGCCTCCACCTTTTGTTCTTCTGGTACTTAAAATTGCTTGGGCCTCAACAACCTCGGAAAACCTTTAAATCTTATAAAATTTAAGAAATCAGATTCATTGGGTTCACAACCACTAGGTCCACTACTCCTTCAGGCTTCAACCATATGGACAGAGTACACAACCCAAAAAGAGCACACTCTTGCAACTTTTTCTGAAGCCTCTTTTCCTCCTCAACATTTTTCTGACCCCAAAAAAAAAAAGGTGCATTTGAATGGTAGATTAATTGGGATGGTTTTTTGAAAGAAATACTGAAGCTTTCTTTTTTTTTTTTTTGTATGTGATCTATGTGAGATAAAAAGATTATTGAAAAATATATTGATGATTCTTGAAAGAAAACTAACTGATCAAAAAAATTTATTTTTTAAGCTCATCAAAATTTTTGACTTCAGTAAAAGCTTATAATTTAGAATTCGAATCCTGTATTTAACACAAAAAAATAATAATAATAAAATAAATAAATAAAAGTCACAAGTGCTCATTTTGGGTTCATAGGTGCTCTAATGATATGTACGACCTAACATCGTGTCTTGTGACTATGGTTCAAAGTCAGCTTAGTCATCGCTAGAACGGATTTCTCCCGTTCCAATATCGAGATGAGATGACTCCGAGATACATAGATAGTTTCAGTCGAAATATCGATCGAATCACTGAGAATTCGATTGAGAAGTTTCCGACACAGATAGTCTCATTGAATTAGCCCAAATCAAATTGCAAATTTACATTTTATAGATTTTTTTTGCTAATTTTTTTATTATTTTTGTTCAGCAAATTTTTGAATATTATTCACAATTTTTAAAATATTAAATACTTTAAAATTTACATCTCACCGAGACAATGACCGATATGCCGAAATTGATGTAAAATAATCTGGATTGTGACTGTGACTGTGACTGGAACCACGACCGCGACTTTGAACCATGCTTGTGACGGGTTAAAGAGTACGGATGTTAAGCGGCCTATCTAGCATAAATGGAATTTTAGTTGGCATCACTTCAACCCCATCAGAAACATTTGTTTGAAATAAAGCTAGTTTAACAAAATTTCAAGTTATATAAATATAAATAAATATAAGCTGGCTAAACCGAGTGATATAAACATAAACTGTGATTGGCATTAATCGAGGAGTATGGTGACATTTCGAATTCTAAATTTTAGAGTTTCGCTCACATCCAAATATTTTACTTTCAGTATTAAATTTGCACTTATTTTCGAAATCTAACAACAAAACAAGCATTTGCTGAATTCACAAAGGTTACGTGTATCAGCTGGCATTACATATCCTAGAGGGCCAACATGCTAAATCTTCTCCCACCACAAATGAGAAGCAACAAAGAGTTGATCCAACTTCATATCCTTCTTATACGGAATAAAATTAGCTCACTTCACTTTTTACAAAAGGACAAAGAATTGATAAAACTTCTGGTCCCTTCTTTTTCCTTTTTGTGCCAAGCAAGTTTTCTTCGTGGTTTTTCTCTTTTTTCTTGAAGGAGTACTGGTTGATGTATTTCGTTTCAGCTTCTTCCTTGTTTTCACCCCCAAATAAGAAGACAGTGGTGGTGATCTTCACAGTAACCATTGGCAAAAAAATTTTCGCTGCATTAAATAGCTCTAGTGGGGAGCAAAAGGGGAAAACAAGACGCCTAGATTATACTATACATGACAAGTACAATATGAAAAGCTTCAAAGCATATGCCCAGCGTCGTTTACTATTTGCCTCCTAGTTTTTAACATCGTAATCAGGAAAGTGTAATCTCCAACAAAATTACCTTTGGGGCTTTGCCGAGTACCTATGATCCGCGGGGGAACGAGAGACTTAACCAACCACGTATGTGATCCAAGATTATAACACATCCAATAAGCGGCTGCATAAAGAAATATTGCAAATTTTTACATTGTACTGGGGCTGCATTTGGCCCAACCTACTCCAAATCCTATTTCCATGGCCTGATTCAAGATGCTGTTTTGCTACACTGCAACGAAATTTATTAAGTAGTTGAAGAAGGAAACAGGAAATTCACAACTGTGCATGTGGGAATTTGACATTAACTTGATAAGATGCTGGCTAACCCAAAGGAGAAAGAAACATAAGCAGCTACTTACTTCTGCACTTCTGGTGCAAGATGTCATATTTACAGCTGTAGATGATGGTGCGCCAGTAAGCAGCGCATCTATAACCACCAATATCTAAAGTTTGCGTAGTAGTTAACTAGTAACATCAGTTTGGGTTAGAGATATCTGCAAAGCGAAACGGCAGAAGATCATAATTGGCAATTTGTCCATTTACCACATCATTTTGGAATAGCACCATTACCAGGAGGCAGCGATAGAAACTAATCTTCCTCATCATCAGCATCGAGCCATCCACAAGATGGTTTTTGTGTTTGGTTAGTTGGTACACGGTCCATGGGAGAGCAAGTTGGAGCAAAGTCCACCGGTGGACCGAGTTGAGGTTGCCCAGAGTCATCCTTCAATGAGTAAGACTTGGTTATAGCTTAGATACAATGCAGATTTTAAAGGTGCAAAAGGTACAATGCAGTTATAAATTGGTCTGAAAATCAATAGAAAAGTTAGTTCTGAATCTTCTGATCGGATGCTGCAGATCATATATACAAGGGAGACATCCCAATCAGATTATATCAAGTATATGTAAATTTTTCAAGAAGCCCCTACAGGTAAGAAAGTACTAATGAATCACCAACTCCCCCAAAAAGTACAGATGCATACGTCTAAACTCTCAACACTTCTTCACAACAAGGGAGTGCATATTCTAAGGTACGATCAATTAGCAATATAACCCAAATTTTACCAAGTACTAGCAGAGACACAGTTATTTTACCAAAAACCTCTGAACTCTTCGGGGATGTCTGCTGCGTCATTACTGTATATAGAGAAAGTTCAACACGATTACACCAGAAGAGCTGTCATTTTCCTTTGCTTCAGAAAATTTTCTCATCGAAAATCAGCATTGACATTTTGAAAATCCGTAACTGAAGGGAGAAACTCAGTAAGCTTTAAGCTCTTTAAAATTGTGACAGAACATTTGACGGTAACCAACAGAACAAAAAATTCAATAGCAAGCACAATAAAGCTAATTGGCTTGTTGTAAGCAATTGGTACTTCTCTAATCGTTCACATTAGCAATTCTACACATTACTTATGCTGTATTTACAGGATGTTTCTGTCAAATTTGACAGCAAGTCATTTTAGTTTCACTGATAAGTAAATTCCGATGATTGGTGTTATGCAAATTGAAAGAATGAAATTGTCAAATTCTTTCTGATAAGTAAATCCTGATGTTTGGAGTTATGCATACTGAAAGATAAAATTGCAATTCTGTGGGGTATCAAGACTCCGACTTCTGAAGGCCAAAAGTGTGGATTACTTGACTGATTTAGTCCCCTTCTTTCTCAAAGCAGTAATATCAAACGCTGATAACCTAATCATATGCTATGAATCCTTACAGTCGCTATCAATTTCTCTTCCAAGTGCTCTAATTAAAAAATCAGCAAAGTTACTAAATAAATGGAAAAAAAAGGCATTACCTTGGAAATGAAATGATGGTGGGTCTGAGAATTTTTGCTTGGACTTTTCTCAGCATCAATCTCCACTGGTAGACACTTTTGTTCCTGGCAGCGCTCTTCCTTATCACACATCTCTTCTAGTGATCCAGATTTTTCACCACTCCCACTTCCATCATCTCTTCCTGCTCTGCCTTCTTGCTGTCCTTCAATAATCGTTTCAATGAGGATCTTGTAAGAAGCCTCCTCAATGAAAATCCATCCATCCTCCCCATAAACCTTGACGGGGAAAAAAAAAAAGAAAAAACCCATTCAAAACAGCAGCGAAAAACGTGGGAATTTAGTTACAAGGAATCGAGTAACATTGGAAACCTTGAGCAAGTCTTTGATGGATTTGCGAACAACATCATCCGGGAACCCCATCGGACGCATAGAATCCAATGCGGCATCAATTCTCATCGAACCAACCTGCAAAGGAAAATCTTTCCCATAAAAGTCCAGTCTTTGAAGGAAAAGATTACAGATAAATTTAAAAAAAACAAAATGCTGTTTGCAAGTGTAAAAGTATAGACCTTTCTGCGTCTATTTCTTGGGGGAGCCATGTTTTTGAATTCTAGGAGGGAGGGTGAAGAGTAGCTGAACCACAAATAAGTTAAAAGTTTAGTACTAGTTCACACTTCACAGCTTTGGCATGGGAAGGACTAAAGATGGAGTTCAGATTGATTCCATGCGTGAGAAATGGGAAACTACAAAAGGGCAGGGAATATGGAAGTTGAGCAGTCCAGATGGGCAAAAGCGGCCTTCTGGGCAAAATTGGGGAAGGTGATTTCATTTATCGGGTAACACTAATAATATACTACATATTTTTGGTTTGCATAAACTGTCTTCGTGCAAATTTGGGAGTAGTATATCTTGTGCAGCGCAATATTGAAAGAGTTGCTGGGATTATGAGGTTGTTGCTGCTGAGTCAAGCCAACCCATACGCAGGCGGCGGTACTGTCTGCTTTCAAGGGGTGTACTTGGGCACAAAGAAATTGGGCGGATATCCAAGATTCCATGCTCCTTGGTCTTCGGGAAATTATTGCTAGCCGACTTTATTTTGGAAACTGGGAGAAAATCCGCCTAACTTCCAGCCCATCCCGCAAATTCCCGCAAAAGATTAGGGCCAAGCAAGCAGTAAACCCTGACTCCAGTTTTGCACTTTGGACCGGTATCACTGGGGAATCATTAATTGTGGTGGACCTTACAAGTCTCCAAGAAGTTTTTTTTTTTTTTTGTTTTCTTAATGAGCTACGTTTCATAATAAGTTGAATGTTCATGGAGGAATCATGTAGTTAAATCAGAAATGGATATTGCAAAGTATTAGTATAAATTCCAGGCACGAGCTTTGTGGATGCATCAAAGAAACTATCTTGTCAAACGGAACCCGGGTGAAGACAACATATAGCAGTAGTGTCGTGTCAATCAGACGGTAGATGAGGTGACCCAAGAAAATCTTTGCCTTGAGAACTTCATTGACAAAGAACTGAGGGGATGGCAAATGACAATAATGTAATGCAGATGCCACGCTGTGCTAAACTTTGACTAACTAGCCTGTAGAACCTAGTCGTACAAGCTTCAGAATTTAACAAAATCTATTACATACTATGTGATAAATGACGATATTACTAGACTTGGCTATTTTGCGTTTGAGCCTAAAAAATTATCAACAAGCATCCAGTACATCGATCATATATATGCTGAACAAAAATATTGGGAGAAACAAACAGCACACCGCACACAAATGGACATTGCGAGGTGGTTAGTACGATGCTAATTGCATCCCGACTCAGTGATGATGTGCAGGAGGCTTGCACTGATAGCATTTGGCAAACAGACCAAATGAATCAACCTGACTGATGAAGTTGCTCATGCTTGCCCACCCTCCGAATCCAAATCCAACCACGAAAACCCATCCCACCACGAATGTGTTCAAAACAAACATGGCGGTCCAGCTCGGCAGGAAGAATGGTGGCTTTTCTGCAGCATTCTGGACATCCAAGATCAGGGTATCGTAAATTTCATAGTCCATAAACAACTGCGATAAAGTACTAAATTTCCATGCTATCGTGCAAAATCTCTTACTAGTTCCTTCAAGATGCCAAACCAAGAAAGTAGTCTGTCAATACATATTAGATAGCATCACAAAATGTGGACAACGATAACAATATATCTGGCAACCCTAGTAGAGTAGGTATTGGTGGGTCAGCTAGCCAGCTCAATGTAGGATGTGACTAGCATTAGCAGGACTGACTGCTGCAAATAACCAATGACAAGGAAACTCTACCAAACCTATCTCGTAAATTTGCTGATATGGATTCTTTCACCCGCGAGTAAAATTCATGGGTTTATTTCTGAGTCCCCTTGAAATCTAAACCAGTAAAAAGTTAAATTTGGGACTTAGCCAATATCACATAATTGTGCTTTCCTATTTGCCTCACATGAATGATAGTGATGCTTTTCTAATCTCCCAAGGCATCACTGAATCTTCTCTTGCTTATCTTAGTAGATACGTCGATGTTGCTCATACTCTCCAGCTATCTAAAGGCTCCATTTATAGCATTTTTGGATGTGCCCTTACTAAGATCATGTGTCGTGGAAGCCTGTATGTACTCTTCTGGTGTGACAATCAAGAAAGAAGCTAGAAGGAGCTAGCTGGCTATTTAAGATAAAGTGCTCAACCCCACCATTGATGCCTACAGAAGTTTGAAACGTCCGTATGCCGAATAATTTCCCAATAATTGATTTTTGAAACTATAATTCGCAATGCTCCATGGCTAACCAGCCATAGTCAATTTTGACACAAGGGGTAGCCAAACATATGGTGTACCAATCGTGGATAGTAAATAACCAAGGGGGACAGTTCCAGCAAGTAAAAAGCATCCAAGTAATGAAAGCCAAAAGAGAATGGAACAGTTACCTGCCGCGCTGATGCCTTTCGGTAAGTAAGCATATGTGCAAGAGAAGGGATAATGTAGACGGTGAAGCTGACTAAAAGTGCTCCCACAGCTGAATTGATTGGCCCAAAGAAGGGAAATATTATGGCCAGGAACCAAATTGGTATTACCACCGGTACCCTGACCAATGCCCTTAAACATATGCTTTTTGTGTCGTGCATCCTTACCACTTTTTCCCACACAAAATACAGAGGGGTGCAAGCGAATCCAAATGTTATGAACTGCATCAGAGCCATTTAATTAAAATAATCATCAATTACACTAGTCAAATGTGAGAATTTAGTCAAAGAAATAGTGACTAAAAGACCTGATGGATTAGCATTAGAATCACAGCTGCATCACGAAAACCAGTGCGAGGAAGTAGTGAGAAGGCATTTGCATGGTCAAGGAGCTGGTCACCGAAGGCCCAATAAACAGCAGCAGCTGATGGAATTGTTAGTGTGAAGACGTAGATGGTCGCAAACAAATATACGTACTTGAATTTCCGCGGCTTCCACATTGCATGCATGATCTCCCTGAAGGAACCAAGACTCTTGCATTAGTACATTAATCCATGACCGATTTGTATTTTATACTGTCACCTGTCAAGACAAACAGAAAAGTGGGACATCTGACTTGAGTTTTAGATACTTGCTATATTCACCATCAGCTTCACATATATCACAACAAACCTAATGAATTTAAGCCTGTCCATATAATTGAACTGATAACGTTACAGTCCCATTCCAAATGACAGGCGAATAAATGCTTTAGAGATTGTATTCATCCTGCAGAATAACGCTTGTTTCCAGGATAGATTTAGTCTCCGTTTATCCTACAAGGATCATGATCTTCATAAACAACTGATACATGTAACAACTCAATTTTAATACCAAAGCACATGCATTTTGTCGAGGAAGTACTCATGTGTAGCGCCTTCTAATATCTTTACCTGATGGATAAATAATCAGCTTTCTGATAAAACATCTCTAAATTGCTCTTCAAATATTCTTTTTAAAACTTGTTCAATTAAGGAGCATAGTTAATGTTAGTGGTCTTATACCAGACCTGCAAACATGTGTGCTCTTACTTGATAAGAAGATTTCCCAGTATAAAGAACTGTTAAAAGACAAAAGATTTCCAAGGGAAATTCCCCCGCAGAGTTGAAGAAACTACTCACACAGTGACAGCATGACCACCGAAAGTGTAAAGTACGTTGGTGGCACCAGTAAAATACAATACCAGTTTTGTTGGGCCAGAATGTTTTACTCCATCAACCTACAAAAGAGAAAAGTAATTGCTGATTTAACAACAATTTCCGAGCAAAAAAGTTAGTGATGATCAGCATCGTTTCCATCATACCTGGCCATGAATAAGGGCCGCAATAGCCAGGTACCATGCAGTGTAAGTGGTCATCCCTAGACCCAAAAATGACCAAATCCTGTAGTTGTGAAACGAGGGGATGAACACGGTAGTTGCACAACACGCCCCAAATATGTATGTCCATGTTCTCTTGTCCAATCGATCATTAATGTAATAGATATTGCTGCACTTACAAGATTAACAAGATAAGTAAACTAAGATAAAAATCTTAACCAAACTTTGTAATCAAAATTTGCAAAATCTAAAGAAAATGCTAACAGCCTAGCAAATCAAAAAAGAGAAATTCGCCTTTTGCTAAGTCTGATGATTAAAGATGGACTGACCTTGCACAAGCTATAAGCTGTATAACAGAACCAAATAGGAGGAAAGTGCAGTTAAAAGCTAATCCAACAGCTTTCCATTGTGGACCCAATAAACCATCCAACACCTCGTACCACTGCGTAGACAGGTAGGAACACTCTAGTTTGTTTGAAAAAAAAAAAGAGGCATATTCTTAAACTGCTTGCAGACTATAATGGTGTTAGTATTTAACTATTTATTCAGTTAGTGGGGACAAAGGCATAGACGGATTTTCGGGTTCCCCCGGAAATGTTTGCAGATTCGCTTATAGAGCTAACCTGAATAACATGGTTTTTGAAGCTGACATTCTCCTTCTCCTTTCTGGTCCGGTACTCAACATAGAGGACACTGATCAGATAAGCAGTCCAGCTGCCTAACAAACCATAAAATACCTGCAGAATTACTCCTGAAAGCATTCCCAGTTGGGAGAAAGAGTATGGCAAAGTCAATAGAACCTGTGCCACCTGCGATCAAATAAAGCCAATACTCGATTTTTATTTCTTTCGTATTTTCTGTTTTTCTTTAGGCACTATCGAAATTCTGCTTGTAAAAAAAACTTTAACAATGTGTGGAGGGTAATTTCAGAATTATAACCTGATTTGAGGCACAGCTGAACCAAGCATCATAAACAGAGCCTCCATGCCAGAATAAGCTTTTGAACCTATGGATAGGCTCATGATCTACTCTTCCTTCCTCTCCTCCGTCAGTCCCGTCGTTCACACTTACGTCCCCAGCGACAATAGCTTCTTCAGCTTGTTTCTGTGGCACCATTGCTTTTTCCCTTCTCTGAAACTCTGAAACTGAAACAAGTTAAAACTAACCCACACTTCTTCGTGACAAAACAAGAGAAATACCACCAAACCGAACTCTCAGACAAAAAAGTCCTCCACCTTCAGCTCTTGGAGGGGTGTATCACCACTTTAGGCCAAATAAGTCCTGTAAATACAGCTAAAAAGTATAGCCAAAGAATGTACACGAGTACGAAAATAACTATCATCTTAACCACTTTAAGTAGTAAAGATAATCAGAGATTTGACCCCTAGTTTACCTTTTTCTAGGACAGTGGCAGAGGTCAGTGCTGTATTATTTGTACAGATTTCAGTCGGCGGTCACTACTTCTCAGAAAGTTGTTTTCCAAGGTCAGTCAGAGACCAGCCAGGAAAGTAGTAA